GGGTCAGGAGCAATGATCGCTGTGCTTGGGTCACGGACGGTGCCCACCGTGCTTGGGTCAGGAGCAATGATCATTGTGCTTGGGTCACAGACAGTATCCTCTGTGCTTGGGTCAGGGAAGTGCCAGCAATACTTGTTTGGGGTGGAGAACTCTGTGTTCCTTTGAAAGTGGGGCCACCTGCCTTAGGTCAAGGGCAGTGCCCGCTGTGCTCGTTTTTGGGTGGGGCTCCTGTACACAGGTGTGGGGCAGTCCTCAGTTTTGGGTATCGTGCGTGTGCTACAGACCAGGAGCAGCACTGGAGACTGTGCTTCCTGCCCCTAGGTTTGGCTGCAGACCTTCCTTAAATTGCCCTCAGGACAACTTAGGACAAGACACAAAAAGAGAGAACCACAAATGTATTTAAAGACAGATTTTGAAAGCTTTATTTGTTTACTTAAGAACAAGTCAATGTAATTAACCTTTCCCAAATGTGGAACTGTTTTCCTAGGGGCACGCTCCCAGTTGTTTCGGAATTACTCTCCAAGATTCCAGTCCTGGGATTAATCTTTACGTTCCCTGGACTCAGCATGGTAAGACACTCCTCATCACTGTCCCTTCATTATGGGCTTGTTTCCAATAAAATTGTGATGCTTTAGTGCATTGTTGGATTGCTTCCGTTGAGACACAACCCGGGTAGCTGCTCTGTCGACTGTCTCTATAATTGCAAGGTCTGAGGCTCAAGTCACACTTGAGTGCTTAAAATGGTAAGGCTGACACTGAGGGAGAGCTGCACTGTTGGAGGTGCTGTCTTTCAGATGCAATGTTAGACCAACGTCCCATCAGCTTGTTTGCTGATTGTAAAAAAATCCTGTGACGTTATTTTGTGGGAGGGTTAATCTCGGTGACCTGGCCAATATCTATCCCTCAGTCATTATTATACAAAATTCAGCTTCTTTGGTCATGGCTGCAATGTTAACCACATTCATAATTTTTAAGAAAGATATATTGGCAGAATACAGGAATTAGTCTGTGATGTTGATATAACCAAAGCAGAAGATAAGAAGTTGGGAAAAGTGACTTCCACTGAAATTGAATTCTATTTCATGTTCCTGAATGCCCATTGATATAATATGAGCCCAGCTTTACATTTTGCACATGTGCTTTCATGTCTCACCCAGCGTGTTTCTATCTTTCCATGTGGTGGGATTTCTCTCTGTCTCTGTCCGATAACGTTTCTCTTTATCTCTTTGTGGTGTTTTTCATGTCTGTCTCTCCATACTCCCTGCGTCATGGCTACTGCAATGTTCCATGGAACCGAATGGATCATGTTAAATTCATCAGCCTTGGTTTTGTCAAAATTATTAGTTTCAGTTCTAATTTGCATTCACGGCCAGTGTAGTGATTAATAATGCCTTCTCTATCTTAAATTTAAAATTGTGTTTGTGTGTGTTTAATGTTAGTGTTTCTCATGCATATAAATGAAAAAACCTATTAAGATTTAGACCAAACTGCTCGATAATGTATAGGTAAGTAAAATCTGTGAATTGCTTTTAATATTGGAACTGTAACTTAGAATAGTCAAAATTATGTTGGTATTCTCACCAAAGGAGACACATTTATTCAATATAATAGAGAACAGCAACTCATATTCCGCTTGGGAACGCTGCAGCCCAATGGTATCAATGTGGATTTCACAAGCTTCAAAATCTCCCCTCCCCCTACCGCATCCCAAAACCAGTCCAGCTCATCCCCGCCTCCCTAACCTGTTCTTCCTCCCACCTCAAGCCGCACCCCCATCTCCTACTGACTAACCTCATCCCGCCCCCTTGACCTGTCCGTCCTCCCTGGACTGACCTATCCCCTCCCTAACTCCCCACCTACACTCACCTTTACTGGCTCCATCCCCGCCTCCTACTGCCTGTTTGTTTCCTCTCCACCTATCCTCTCCTCTATCCATCTTCTATCCGCCTCCCACTCTCTCCCTATTTATTTCAGAACCCCCTTCCCCTCCCCCTTTTCTGATGAAGGGTCTAGGCCCGAAATGTCAGCCTTTCTGCTCCTATGATGCTGCTTGGCCTGCTGTGTTCATCCAGCCCTGCACCTTGTTGTCTCGGATTCTCCAGCATCTGCAGTTCCTACTATCTCTTATTCAATATAATAGTTAGCTTGATTATATCTTGCTCCACGCCTACTGGGAATGTTAATCCAATGTCTCATCGACATACATCATCAATGTTAGTATTTAAGCTGCTCTCACACGGGATATTTAAGCAGTTGCAATCAAAGAAGGGAGGCAGGCAATTACTATAAAGTCCAAATTCGACAATTAAATAAAATCTAGGAAATGCAAATTGGGGATCGCTGGTTAGGAATTCAGTTTTTTTTATTCATTCATGAGATGAAGGTGTCACTGGCCAGGCAGCATTTATTGCCCATCCCTAATTATTCAACCAAATTGCTGTGGGTCTGGAGTCACATGTAGGCCAGACCTGGTAAGGATGGAAGTTTCCTTTCCTAAAGGACATTAGTGAACCAGATGGGTTTTTCCCAACAATTGACGATGGATGCATGGTCATCATTAGACTCTTAATTCCAGATATTTATTGAATTCAAATTCCACCATCTGCCGTGGTGGGATTTGAACCCAGATCTGCTGGGACATTATCTGGGACTCTAGATTAACAGTCCAGTGATAATACCACTAGGTCATCACCTCCGCAACCAGCACTTGGTTAGTCTACTGACTTTTTATCTCTAGCATCTAATTCCAGGTCTCACAACTTTTTAAATTCATTCTTGAGCGTTGCCAGCATTAATTGCCTATCCCTAACCAGCCGTGATTTCAGAAGGTGGGTTGCTTTCTTCATCAGTAGTAGCTTGTGTGGGAGGTGATGGCCTACTGGTGTTATCACTGGACTGTTAACGCAGAAACCCATGTTATGTCCTGGAGAACCTGCGTTCGAATCCTGCCATGGCTGATGGTTGAATTTGACTTCAATAAACATCTGGAATTGAGATTCTAATGAGCACCATGAATTCTTGTTGATTGTCAGGGGGAAACAAACCAACTGATTCACCTTTATGGAAGGAAACCACCATCCTTAGCCAGTCTGGCCTCTATGTGACTCCAGACCCACAGCAATGTGGTTGACTCTTAACTGCCCTCTGGGCAATTAGGGATGGGCAGCAAATGCTAACCTTGCCAGTGATGCCCTCATCCCATGAATGAATTTAAAAACAATGTGGGCTAGGTGCACCAATGATGTGGGAGGTTTTTTTTTGAAAATTCAAGCCAAGATAACGAGTGACTTGTTCGACAAGGGCAGCAGATACATGGAAACACCAGCCTCAGCAAGTTCCCTCTCAGCTGCTCAACATCCTGACTTGGAAATATACCCAGAGACAGCCAAGGCAATCACAAATCTGGCTGGGAAGTTAATGATGGGTGGGGGTGTTTGTTCCTTTTCTTTCTCGGTTATTCATTTCTAGGAAAGGCATGGTGGCTCAGTGGTTAGCACTGCTGCCTCACAGCGCCAGGTGCCCAGGTACAATTCTACCCTTGGGTGACTGTCTGTGTGGAGTTTGCACATTCTCCCTGTGTCTGCAGGGGTTTCCTCCCACAGTCCAAAGATGTACAGGCTAGGTGGATTGGCCATGCTAAATTCCCTATAGTGATCAGGGATATGTAGATTAGAGGGATGGGTCTGGGTGGATGTTCTGAGGGCCAGTGAGGACTTGTTGGGCCGAAGGGCCTTTTCCACACTGCAGGGATTCTATGAAGGTGCTTGTTTGAAAGGTATTAGCAAAGTAGGCTTGAAGAGCTGCTACAGTGCAACTTATAGATTGGATAAATTTTCTTCCTTCCTCATCCTAATGTCCCAGTTACAGCTCACCTTGAGAAAGAAAATGAGTGAAAAATACTAGCACTAATGTAGCACTTTTGATGACCACAGGAGGTTCTAAGGCATCCTATAACTTTCGAAGTGTAACCATAGTTGTAATGTACAGCACCCAATTTGCACACAGCCAGGTCCTTCGAACAGCAATGAGATAAATTGACCAGATAATCTATTCCAGTGGTTTGAGAATATTAAGAGCGTTTAATATTGGCCGAGAACATGGGGGGCATAGGCTTTTACATTAATGTGTGAGTGAGGATCCTTGGCCCATTTTGGAAGCTTGAGCACATAATCCAGACCAACACTTTAATAAAAAACTGAGGGAGTACTACGCAGTAGCCAGCTGAGTTCCCAATAAGCTGTGCAGTCGCATTGACATCTGGTTTTGGAGGTTGCTGCTGTGCACAGGCCTCGGATGGGTGCTCACTGAAGAAAAATAGAGGGAGTATTGGTGGAAGGTGCCATTATATGACTAAGATATTTGGTTATGGTCTGTATCTTCTTTATTGCAAAGTGCCTAACCAGTGCTATTGGTTAAGAGGTAAATATTGACCAATCAAAGTAAATGAGAAATGATTTCCCCATCAAATTTGCAAGCTACGCTGAATTTCCTTAGTACCATGGAGTCCTAATATATTTGAGAGTATTCCATTAAGGCTGCTTCACCTAACCATTTAAGCAGCAATATTTTACATGATTAACCTCCCTTGTGAAGGCTTTTCAAATGTCCTTGCACAACTTCTATCTTCTGTCTGGTTTATTAGTCTTATAACATCAATACAAACAGATAGTTTATTGAGGATGTGGTAAACCAATCTATTTGCATACTCGGAGAATATTACTGCCTACAAGCCACTTAATAATCATCAATAGGATTTAAAGCACCGATATATTATGGGGCTTAAAAGACATACTATACAATAACTTTTATTTGTACATGTCAGTGTAGTAAATTCTCAGTATGCATGAAATCACGAATTGCGAATTCGACTATCTGAGTCAAAAATAAGTATTAACAAAAGAAAATATCCACTGGCAAAAATCGTGTATCCAAAGCAGGCTGGAAGAGTTATTACAGTGCAGCTTGTGGATTGGATACATTTTCCTGTTTCCTCATCCAAGTGCTTTGGTTGTAGCTGAACTTGAAAATGAAGGAGGAAACATTTGCACTAATGATGACCTCAGGCACCTTATCACAGAATCCCTACAGTATGGAAACAGGCTATTCGGCCTAACAAGTCCACACTGCCCCTCCAAAGAGCATCCCACCCAGACCCATTCCCCATGCCTAACCCAAACATCCCTGAACACTATGGGCAATTTAGCATGGCCAATCCACCTAACCTGCACATCTTTGGACTGTGGGAGGAAACCCACACTGACATGGGGAAAACATGCAAACTCCACACAGACCCGAGCATGGAATCAAACCTGGGTTTCCTGGCGCTGTGAGGCAGCAGTGCTAACCACTGACCCACAGTGCTACCTCTTACAACCACTTAAGTAACTTTAGGAAGTGTAATCATTGTAATGGACAGCACTGAAATTGCACACAGAAAGGCCCTTCAAGTAGCAAAGGGATAAATAATGAGATAATCTACTCCAGTGGTTTGAGAATATTGACAGTGTTTAATATTGTATCCATGATTTTTAACAAGTTCCGCATTCACGAATTTCAACATTCACGGGAGTTCTCAGGAATGGAACCCTTGCAGATATGGAGGAATGACTGCGTGCATTTATTATAGAGAGTGCTGGACAAAGTCAAAGACCCATGTCGATGCTACTAACTACTCCCAGGGCTAACATAGAAAAGGAACAAAGGACTTTGTTTTGATGCATTCATGGGGCATGGAATTTGCTGGGTAGGATAGAATGATTTGCCTATTTCTAATTGGTCTGGAAAGGTGGTGGTGAGCTGCCTTCTGGAACCAATGCTGTCTTGGACATGTAGGTGCCTTTACTTATGCACGCACTCGAAATGGGAATGACTCTCTTCCAGCATGTGGGCCTGCGATGCTAAACAGTCCAATGCTGGATCAGAACACTGCCAAAGGTGGGTGTTTGAGGAAGCGGGTGGGTGGCCTCATTGAGTTTACACACCAATGCTCCTTCCACCCTTTGTGCTTGATCTCTATCTGTACCAACTACAGAGCTGTTAGGGGCAGTGGAGGGGGTCTTGGTTCCAGGATTTTCACCCCACCATTGCGTGACAGTTCCATGTCAGGATGGTCAATCATTTAGAAAGGACCATCGAAGGTGTTGGTCTTGCTCTACATTTGTTGCTGTTGTCCTTTTGGCTGCTAAATGCCATGGTTTGGAAAGTGTTGTCAGTGGATGAGTTTCTGCAATGTTTCTTCTTAAAGGTTCTCATTGCTGCCATTGTGCATTGATAGTGAAGGATGTTACCATTGAAAAGGTATGTTTCAAAATTATAACACATTTTTCACAATTTTAGGGCTACCCAAAAGCACTCCACCATCACAGAAGTACTATTAAAATGTGGGAGAATAAATCAGCCAATATGCACACAGCACATTTCTGTAATCAAAAATGTGACCAGATAATCAATATTAGTGAAATTGATTGGAGAGTAAATGTTGGACAGGTCCCCATTGAACTCAGAAAGTGCTGAAACTGTGGAGGGATAGTGTCAACATTTCAGGTCTGAAATAACTGCACAGAGGCTGGTATCTTGTCACCAAGTCACCCTTTATTTATATATGCACTGTACATGGGCTCTGACCTGCTGCTCTAAGCCAGTCCCTGGACTGAGGGGACCTTCTGAATCCCCTGTTTATTTCTGTCAGCCAGGGCTCCCTGATTGGTCCGGGTTAACAACGCCAATCAAGGATATCACAGTTAATGGATCCACCTTGCCCTGGTTCCAATCACTGCAAGATTGATGACATTTTGTCAGAACCGATGCAATTTAGCACAAGAACCAATTTCCAATTTAAAGAGCTGAAACATTAACTTTGTTTCTCACTCCACAAATGCTGTCAGACGTGATGAGGTTTCCATCATTTTGAATTAAATTGAATCATTTATTGTCACGTATTCAATGTGAAAATACAATGAAAATTGTGTACCTTTGCCGTACATACATGGTGCCTTTTACATTAACATGGAATACGATAAGAAAGAAAAGTAACTTCAGTGAGTTCAGCTTTCTTTTCCACTGCTGCAGTCCCATTCCAGACTTTCCAGCCCTCGCCATGCTCTGGGCTGCCTCACCATCTCACTCTGGGCTGACTCACAGTCCCGCTCTCACCACTGCTGCCTCACCGTCCCATTCTCAGCTGCCTCACCGTCTCCACTCTCACTGTCACTGCCTCACCGTCACTGCTTCACCGTCCCCACTCTCACCGTCACTGCCTCACCATCCCCACTCTCACCGACACTGCCTCACCGTCCTGCTGTTCCTGTCCCACTCTCAGCTGCCTCACCGCTCAGCTCTGATCGCTGCTGCCTCATTGGCCCGCTCTTGATCTGCCGCTGTCCCTCTGGCCCAAGCTTGATCCACTGTAGCTGTAGGAAACAACCCGCGCGTTTAGCTCCCACCACGCAGTTCCCAGTCTTGACCCAGCTCGTTCCTGATTCCTAAGGTCGGTGGTATTTTCCATATTACGTTTCCTGGCACCTTTAACATTTTAATTTTGTACTGGACCTTCCCTAACCTTTCTCACAAAGTCAGAAATCACACGACATCAGGTTATAGTCCAACAGGTTTATTCGAAAACTCACGCTTTCAGAGCCTCACTCCTTCTTCAGGTGTTAGTGAGAGAGGTAGCATTAGACACAGAATTTGTAAGTAAGAGATCAAAGGTTCACACCATTAGATAGAGGATGTACTAAACAAAACCTAAGATGCTGTTAAATCTTTAAGCAGTTGGAAGGTTTTAATTGATTAATGTGGAAATGTAAATTCCTGAGTTTCTTTCAAGTCACTGCCCTGAGAGAAATGAAGGTTTTATCAGTGTAAAGAAGAGGTAACATTTTAGATCAGTCAATGCATGTTCAGTGTGAGGCCTTGTTTGGAATCTGTTTGTGTTTTTGTCTGGAGTCAGACTGGTTTTATTTCTAAAGTAGGAATTTATAAAATGCCTCATTGACTGACTGTCTATAAATTATGTACTTTTTGTAGAAAATAGAATGCATCTGCAAATACAAATTCACCCCATTGATTTATGTGTGTGTGTATTTGTGTGTGAGTGAGTGTGTGTGTATGTTTCTGACCTAAAATTTCACCTCTGCTTTACACTGATAAAACCTTTAGTCTTCTCAGGGCAGTGACTTGAAAGAAATTCAGGGATTTACAAATACATATTAATCAATTAAAGCCTTCTAACTGATTAAAGATTTAATAGCATCTTACATTTGTTTAATACAACATCATCAGTAGTGGGACCCTTTGTTCTTTCACTTACAAATTCTGTGTCTGATACCACCTCTCTCACTAACACCTGAAGAAGGAGCGAGGCTCTGAAAGCTTGTGTTTCAAATAAACCTGTTGGACTATAACCTGGTATCATGAGATTTCTGAACTTGTCATGTTGCAGCTGTACAAAACTCTGGTGCGGCCACACTTGGAGTATTGCGTACAGTTCTGGTCACCGCATTATAGGAAGGATGTGGAAGCATTGGAAAGGGTGCAGAGAGATTTACCAGGATGTTGCCTGGTATGGAGGGAAGGTCTTATGAGGAAAGGCTGAAGGTCTTGAGGTCGTTTTCGTTAGAGAGAAGAAGGTTAAGAGGTGACTTAATAGAGACATACAAGATGATCAGAGGATTAGATAGGGTGGACAGTGGGAGCCTTTTTCCTCAGATGGTGACGGCTAGCACGAGGGGACATAGCTTTAAATTGAGGGGTGATAGATATAGGACAGATGTCAGAGGTAGGTTCTTTACTTAAAGAGTAGTAAGGGCGTGGAATGCCCTGCCTGCAAAAGTAGTAGACTCGCCAACTTTAAGGACATTTAAATGGTCATTGGATAAACATATGGATGATAATGGAATAGTTTAGGTTAGATGGGCTTCAGATTGGTTTCACAGGTCAGCGCAACATCGAGGGCCGAAGGGCCTGTACTGCGCTGTAATGTTCTATGTTCTATGTTCTTGTCCAGCCCAGTCTAACACCGGCACCTCCACATCATTTCTCACAGGGTACTGTAGACTCGTTTACATTCACTTGCAAAACCAGGCAAGATCTTGGCTGAACATTGCATTAGCGGGTGGAATCTTCTGCAGCGCAGCACTCCCATTGTAGAGATTTGAAGTGTCAGTCCATATATTTTGATGATAAATGCACTGATGAGGATGGTTGATTTCATAAACTGACCGACCCATTTTTCTTCCTTTCTCTGTGACCTGGATTGTAAATCCAACCACTTCTTTCTGTTGTCTGTCGGGTCTCCTCATACAATTGTAAGGCAGTCTCCAATTCATTGAGAGATAGTAGGAACTGCCGATGCTGGAGAATCTGAGATAACAAGGTGTAGCGCTGGATGAACACAGCAGGACAAGCAGCATCAGAGGAGCAGGAAAGCTGAAGTTTTGGGTCTAGACCTTACTTCAGAAATTCTGAGGAAAGGTCCAGATCTGAAACGTCAGCTTTCCTGCTCCTCTGATGCTGCTTGGCCTGCTGTGTTCATCCAGCTCTACACCTTGTTATTTCCAATTCATTGGTTCTTTATATAATAACAGTACTTAACTCAGCACCAAACTGACACTTTGAAATAGTTCAGCATTACACAAATACTCTTTTTATCATTATGGTTTAAGAAAAAGGGAGCAGTATCCATTTCCAAGTTGCAACCACCAGAAAGGTAAGATATAAAATGCAAGGAAATCTTGTCGGTGTTGAGGGCTCTTCATACTTGCTTGCTTATTTTTTTTTTCTCCAGGTGTTGAAGCGACTTAGAGAGGGAGGCTCTTTGGTGTGAAGACAAGCCAATGAACTAAGGACAACTGAAGAAGTCATCTGATTAAACCAGCCATAAACAGAGCCTCACTGGACTGTATTCAGATAGTGCCATACTATATTATACTGGGAATTACTCCTGCTCAAAGTTTCAGGAAAGCTGTTAATTCCAATGGACTAGTTAGCAGTCTTTTCTTCATTCTTGTTCATCGGAGTTTGTTGACCAACTTGGTTACTGAATCCACCAATGCTTCATCTACATCATTAAATCCTTCCACGACATCAACATTCCCCATTCCTGTTCTAATTCAGTCTTACAACTTTTTGAAATCCATGTTCTCCTGTATTTCTGGTCTCCTGTCCATTGTTGATCTTCTCCACCGCACTAGTACCTGCACCTTCAGTCTTGAGCTCTGGAGTTCCATTCCTAAAACTCTTCACCTTATGATCCTCTCTTCCCTTTGAACAGGGTCCTTAAAGCCAATTCTTCAACCAAACTTTTAGCTACCAGTCCAAATATTTCCTCATGAGGGCTTGGCTAAACGTATTGTGAAGATTTGCTATGCTGAAATGCCATGAGGATACACATTTTTTGCTCTCTGAAGAGAAACTTTACTATTGGTCTTTCCGGTACTGTCTCTCCTGTTTCCTTTCCCCAAATATTCCCCACTGTCTTTGCATTCTTCACCATTAGCCTCTCCACCATCTTAGGCCTTCTGGAATGGCTCAGACACAAAGACATTGGACAAAAAAAACCAAAGAACTGAAGATGCTGGAAATCAGTAACAGAAACAGAAATTGCTGGAAAAGTTCAGCAGGTCTGGCAGCATCTGTGGAAAGAAAGCAGAGTTAACGTTTCAGGTCCAGTGACTCTTCTTCAGAACAGACCCTTTTGAAGGAATGTCACTGAACTCAAAACATTAACTCTGCTTTCTCTCCACAAATGCTGTCAGACCTGCTGAGTTTTTCCAGCAATTTCTGGTTTTGTTTGTGACAAAGATATTGGTCATGTGTTGATCCCTTTCCAATTAAACTGAGCGGTAGATTCACTCAATCTGTCTTTGTAGAATGTCCATCTGATTATTTACCTTTGTAATGCAGGTTTTGACTCAATTTTGTTAATGTAGAAATATGAGATACCTTTCATTCACTGCGTGTGTATTTCTGTGCTTGTGCGTTAGGGTTAAGGTTAGGCTATATTCAAATAAAATTCTCAGGATTTCTCAAATTAGAGTACAACAGAAGCCTTTGATCTCTTATACATCCAATGCAAAGTCAGCATCCAATATCACACTGGCTCCTAGAAATGAATTTTAGTCTAAATAATGCCTTTCACTGAGAGACAGTTCACTACTTCTAAATGAAGGTTAAGTTTCTATGCTTGTGGGTTTTACTATGGGCATCAAGCTGTTAATAACATGGTATGTGGTTGCTTGATCACACAGAAGTTGAGTATTGCTGAAAAGAGTGACATACAGTTGAAGAGATTTTTGCTTTGCACTCATCGTGACAGAAGCACGAATACCACATTTCAAAGGGAGTAGGAATTGTTACAATAGTTATAATAGTGAAATAGAACTCAACCATAGAGTATACGATGGGTAATAATGAACATTCTGGCTGGGAACCAGGAGAAAACTCAAGCATATGCAGTGGGCATGGTGGCTCAGTGGTTAGCACTGCTGCCTCACAACGCCCATTCGATTCCACCCTTGAGCGACTGTCTGTGTGTAGTTTGCATGTCTCTGTGAGTTTTCTCCGGGTGCTCCGGTTTCCTCCCATAGTCCAAAGATGTGCAGGTTAGGTGGATTGGCCATGCTAAATTGCCCGTAGTTTGCAGGTTGAGTGGGTTAGCCATGGGAAATACAGGGATGGGGTGTTTCTGAGTGGGATGCTCAATGGGCTGAATAGTGTGGTTCCACACTGTAGGGATTCTATGATAATTTGCTCACACATGGTACCGTTAGCACATACAATAGGTTTTGTGTGAATTTTTGATAAATTCTCCATAGGATGTAGACATCACTGCTTATGCCAATATTTATTCCCTGTCCCCGATTTGCTCCTGGGGAGGTGGTAATGAGCTGCCTTCTTGAACCACAGCAGCTCAAGTGCTGAAGGTGCGATGATATGTTTCCAAATCAGGATGGTGTATGGCTTAGGTAGTGGTGTTCCCACCTGTCTGCTTCTCTTGTCCTTCTATAAGGTAGAAGCCATGAGGTTGAAAGGTGCTGTTGAAGATTTGGTAAGTTGCTGCACTGGAGATGGCACACAGTGTTGCCACTGTGCAGCTGAGGTGGGGTATGCTTAAGGTGTTGGATGGGGTGCCAATTAAATGGGCCACTTTGTCCTGGAATTCATTAAGTAATGATGGCTGCATGGGCTCAAGTTGTAACTGATCAGGCCAGTGTTAATCCTGGTTTCTGTATAGATAGGATTGTTACAGAATTCAGTGCAAGATGCTCAGAGACACAATTCCAACCCATCTGAGGCATATTAGTGCTGAAACGATGAGAAGGAAAGTTAGTGAGCTATTTTATTGGAAGAATCAATTTTTATCACAGTTTGGAGGAGGAATTAGGCAGCTTTAATGAAATATTGCAATATTCAGAACTGAAAGTACCACTGAGGCATAAAAAAAACCCACCATTGACTCTCCTGTGTTTCAATGCATTCTTGCAAACTTCTTTTATCTGTGAAGTATTTTCAATTTGGAGCGATATGGTCAAAGCTGGTGATTATAGGGTGCTGGAATAATCTTCCTATCGTAGTCTGAGCCCTTGGGCTTACATCCTGCTTGCAACTCCCTCACCCTCAATTTGAAAAGGAAGGAGCAGAAGAATGTTCCAGCACAGAAACAGGTCATTCGGCCCAACTAGTCAATGCTTCTGCTTCACCTGAGTGCCTCCCCTGCCCCTTTTCGTCTAACTCCATCAGCAAAACCTTCTCTTCCTTTCTTCCTTATTTTTAAAACAACTAGTTTACCTACCCACCCTTTAAGTATATCTATGCGGGCCACGTCAACTACACCTCGTGGTAGAAAATTGTACGTTATTGGGCATCGGTAAGCTCCGAATGGCGTACAATGAGATTCTGGAACCTGCCAAAATCTCGTTCCTGTAGATGGGGCCTTAACGATATAAATTGTCTCTCTCCGTCTGCGTGAAGGACGGAGGCCTGCTTCCCAGGCTATTCCTGAAAACACAATCAGAGACTGAATGTGTCATGGAGCCAATGCTGAAATGGTTCTCCTCAAATTTACTGCCTCCCTAACTCCCTCCATCCCCAATTTACACCCACCATCGTGGGATGGGGTTATACCCCGGCCATAGACTACCATGCTGGGTCGACCGGGAACCTCCCATCGGTATGTCTTAGGGAGGATATTGAAGGCTGTGGTGTTGGTTTATGGAATGATGAATTTGGAGGAAGGGTAGTGAACAGCGCTGTATAAAATACGATCAGTAACAGTCTGAAAATCTATGGTTTAGTTTCGATGTGGAGGTGCCGGTGTTGGATTGGGGTGGACAAAGTCAGAAATCACACGACACCAGGTTATAATCCAACAGGCTTATTTGAAAACACAAGCTTTCGGAGCACTGCTGCTTCGTCAGCTGAAGAAGGGGAAGCACTTTGAAAGCTTGTGATTTCAAATAAGCCTGTTGGGCTATAACCTGCTGTCCTATGACTTCTGACTTGGTTTAGTTTGGTTACAGAGGTTATGGCCAAATGAAGGATAGAAGATGAAATCAGTTAACAGATAACCACTTACAATTTAGATTTTTTTAATTAATTCATGCGATGGGGGCACCTCTGGCTGGACCAGCAGTTATTGTCCATCCCTGATTGCTGAGGGCAGTTAAGAGTCACAGGCAGGCCAGACCATGTAAGGACGGCAGATTTCCTTCCCTAAAGAGACATTAGTGAACCAGATGGAATTGTCCCTGACAATGATTTCATCATTAGAATCTTATTTCAAAGATTATTATTAAATTCAAAGTCCACCATCTGCCTTGGCAGGATTTGAACCTGGGTCCCCAGAACGTTACCTAGGTCTCTGGATTTATAGGCTAGTGATCATACCACTAGGTCATGGCCTACCTATTTTCAGAGGTTCCTGTTTTAGTCTCAAAGGTACAGTATTTGAAGGGTTTTTTTTCTTTTTATCTGTTGCGAACTAGCTTCTTCTTAACTTCCTAAATTTCTTGCCTACCATTTGTTGGGTTTACGGTATTGTCAATGGCTGTTCATTCAGCTAATCTACTTTTGCCCTTAAATTCTCCACCTTCTTCCATCTTCTGTTTGATGCCCCGCTCTCATGACCACAAAACCTTCCCAAAACCATCCCCTTCATCCTACCCTCTCCATTTCTCCCCTGTCATTGTGTTCTGGCTTCGTTCTCCTGCCTACCATAGAGTCTTCTGAGATACCTTCCTCCATTTCGGTGGCACCACAGAATTGAAAGTTATTGGGAGTGGAAATGTCAGCATTTCCTCCAAATTTACCCAGTAAATGCTCTGGGAGACAGGAGTTCAAATCCCACCTTGGTAGCTGGTGGAATTTGACTTCAATTAATAAATCTGTTGAGATGGTAACCATGAAAATGTTATCAGTGGTTTAAAGCCCTGTCTGGTTCATTAATGCCCTTTAGGGAAGGTAATCTGCCATTATTACCTGTCTGGCCTATCTGTGACTCCAGACTTTCATTAATGTGGTTGGTTTACAGTAATCTACCTTTTAAAATGGCATAGCCAGCCAGGGGTAATTAAAGAGGGGCAACAATTGCTGAACTTGCCAGCAATACACACCCCAAGAAAGATTATTTTTAAAACAAAAGTCATAGAGCCATACAGCACGGAAACAGACCCTTCGATCAAACTCATCTATGCTGACCAAGTTTCCCAAACTAAACTAGTCCCACTTGCCTGCATTGGGCCCGTATCCCTCCAAACCTTTCCTATTTATGTATTTGTCCAAATGCCTTTGAAATGTTGTTACTGTACCTGCATCTACCACCTTCCCTGGTCGTTCATTCCATATGCAAACCACTCTCTATGTAAAAAAGTTGTCCCTCAGGTCCCTTTAAAATCTTTCTCCTTAAAAATATGCCCCCAACTTTTGAACTCTACCACCGTAGGGAAAAGACCTTGGCTATTCACCTTATGTGTGCCCCTCATGATTTTATAAATCTCCATAATGTCACTCCTCAGCCTCTTACGCTCCAGTGAAAAAAAGCCCCAGCCTAGCCTCTCCTTATAACTCAAACCTTCCAGTCCTGGCAGCATTCTGGAAAATCTTTTCTGAGCCCTTCCCAACTTAATAATATCCTTCCTACAGCGTGTTTTTTGAGACTTTGCTGTATTAGTTAGTCTCCACAGAGCATGCAGTAAAGTTTCTTCAATTGACTTCAGGGTCCCTATATTCAAGAAATTGGGGGCTGGGGTAGGGGGAAATGTAACGAAAAGAGATGAAGGTTCCAAGATAAAATCCTGCAGCTGCTAGAAATCTTGAAATAAATTTAGGAAGTGCTGGAAATACTCAGCTGCTCAGGCAGCCACTATGGAGAGAGTTCAAGAGTATTTGATTTGATTTATTATTGTTACATGTATCTAGATACAGTGAAAAGTTTTATTTTGCATGCAATAGAGGCAGATCATAACATCCAAAAATCATAGAGTGATTGAACAGAGTGACGAATACAAAGTTAAGGCTGCAAAGAAGGTGCACAAAAAGCAAGGTCAGCATTAAATTTGAAATTTGAGAGGCCCTTTCAGAACAGTGGGAAAGAAGCTGTTCTTGAACCTGTTGGT